AAAGAATTGATGTGCCCCCAAATTTGGTTTTCTCGCCCAGTGATGCGTAAAGTTTCGAAGGTCCACTCACATAATACGCAGGTTGCATGGCATCGACGAACAAATAAAAGCTGGGGCTTATCAATTCTGTAGACGACCCCCTATTCGACGGGTAGCCCCTGCTGGCCTCAACAGTCCCCCAAAACAGTTTTAGGTCGGGCATGTCCTCCTATGAACGGCTTTCGGAAGAACACTTAAAACGTAGTCCTGCAAGTGTAAAGAATCATCGAACATGGTTGTTCGACTACTTTTGCCCCCGTAAAGAGACAAACTGCGAATACTAAATCGACTACGTGCGTTGTATCGACTCAATAATCGACTACGTTTCTCGACTACGCTTCTCCTACTATCAAATTAGCCCCCGTTTCTCGACTACGTTTTATCGACTAAATCATCGAAATACTCCTCCTGTACACCCTGCGAAATGCTTAAGAAATCATGGGTTCAGAAATTCATAGTCTCAGAACTTGAACAAAACACATAACATTTCTATTAAAAGCTTAGGATTTACATCGAAACAATAAGAATAATCGAGACTCTGGCCGAAAACTTAAGTTTTCTTAAGCATCGCCTAAGGTGTAGGGCCCGACTTAAGAAAGGCCCAGCGGGCCTCCAGAGGCCCCCCCGGGCAGCCGCGGGCGGTCTCCGCGCCCCGACCCCGGGGCCCGCCAGAGGAGGCGCCGCCTCCACCCCCTCCTCCCCCTCCTCCTCCCTCCTCCTCCTCCTCCTCCTCCTCCTCCTCCTCCTCCTCCTCCTCCTCCTCCTCCTCCTCCTCCTCCTCCTCCTCCTCCTCCTCCTCCTCCCTCCTCCTCCTCCTCCTCCTCCTCCTCCTCCTCCTCCTCCTCCTCCTCCCCTCCTCCTCCTCCTCCTCCTCCTCCTCCTCCTCCTCCTCCTCCTCCCTCTCCTGACGTTGAGACCGCCCACGCGGGACTGCTCGGGGGGGAGGGGCCCGGGCCTGCGGGGGCCGGCTGGGACTTCTACACAGGGGGGCCTGTTGAGGCCAGCCAGGACTACCTGCCCGCGGTCGCTTCCCCCCTAGCCGCTATAGCCTTGATCACCAGGAAGCAGTCCGAGCACCAGGAAAGTACCGACACTAGACGGCTTCCCCGCGGCGGGCCCTGGGAGGCGATGCTTTCGTTCGACACGTCGCGAGCGTGTCGGGCAGACGCTGTGTCGATACCTCTCTGGGTGCTCGGAATGATTTCTGGGATGTGGCCCTTACGTAACTTCGAGGGGAGCAGCATGATCCTCGGGGCCGCTCGGCGTGGCCTCAAAGCGCACCCGAAGTCCCATGGGGAGCCCACGTCGTGCGATCGCGCCGAGCATCGTGTCGCAAATCCCCGTCCCCGTTGGCATGGCCTTGGGCCCACTGGCCGATCTACCCTCAGATCCTGGCGTTGCATGTTGTTTCACAACGGGCGTGTTTGTTCACTGGATTTCGGGCCCCAGGACCCGCACACATCGATGCGGCTTGAACAATGACTCAGAAAGATTGGGTCCAGGGTTCTGGTCATGATTTGCAACGTCGGATCTCAGGATCCCCCCTGGATGGGGACGGGACAGGGGATGCACCGGCGACGCATCGTCGACGCCAGCGACGCATCTCGGCTACGTCGACGTGAAGCAAATCGGGCTCCACGTCTAGCCGCATCGGCGACGCATCAGCGATGCGGCGCGATCCCCCGACCCCATCTACACCGAGCCCATCTGGGAGGCCTAGAATTAGGTTGGGCATGTCCTCCGACAGGCGCATTGAGAAGGCAATAGAAAGTAGTCAAACCAAAACATCAAAAAAATAGTCGAAACATCGTTCCCAGACTATGCTTTGACCACTCTTGCACATTCCTCCTGTAGAGGGGCATGCCTGAATTGAGCCTAGAGCTCTGGGGGCTCGGAGCGGGCCGTTGGCCTGGGTCGGCGTGGGTCCGCGTGGGGGGGGGGGGGGGGCGCTTTATGCAACCATCTGGAGTGATTGCACCCCTCCCTAGGCATGCAGAGGCCATGAGACAGGGGTGAGAACACGCGGCAGCAGTCACGAGCAGAGGGCAACGGGCGGCTGGGCACCTGAGGAGCAGCGGTGAGCCACCGAGGGAGAGAGGAGAGGAGAAAGGAGAAAGGAGAAAGGAGAAAGAAGAAAGAAGAAAGGAGAGGAGAGGACAGGAGATGGCGGGGGGCCTGGGCACGATGCAGGGGAGGTGAGGACAGAGGACCACCACGACATAGGGGAGGGGAAGGAGCAGAAGAAAGAACAACTGCATAAACATAAACTGTTGGTGCTCCGCGCGAGTTTCTTGGATCTGCGCTGGACCCCCCCGAGCGCGCGGAGCGCGCCAGGGGCGAATCCGGAGGCGCCGCCGATGGGCCCAGAGCGGATCCCAGAAATCTGCGCGGAGCGCCAAACGTTTGCGCTCCCGGCTGCTCTCTCCTTCGAAGGGGGGCGCAGAGGCGACTGCCGTACAGGAGGCGAGGGGAGGACAACCCGGGGCTCCCCCGCGAAGGAGGCGAGCACGCAGCGCGCCGCGGCGGAGGGCGGGAGGAGGGGATGATACCGCACAGGTCGGCCCGAGCACCTGCGTGCCCCCCTCTGCCGCGGGCGCGCGCGGCGAGCAGGAGACACACCGCGGCGGCCGCTCCTCCTCCCCGCCCCGCCCCCGCCCCTGCGACGCGGGCAGGGCGAGGGCAACACCTCGGGCCCGCCTCTCCTAGAAGCTTGTCTCTTCGCTCCGGCGGCTCGGGGCGAGGGTGCCTCGGAGGACGCGGCCTCTCTCTGGAGCGTGCACAGTTTCCCCCGGGGCCGCAGGCGGCCCAAGGAGGAGGAGGCGGAGGAGGAGGAGGAGGAGGAGGAGGACGAGGAGGAGGAGGAGGAGGAGGAGAAAATGGAGGAGGAGGAGGAGAAGGAGGAGCAGGACGAGGAGGAGGAGGAGGAGAGGAGGAGGAGGAGGAGGAGGAGGAGGAGGAGGAGGAGGAGGAGGAGGAGGACGGGTCGCCTAAGCCCTTCGGAGAAGAAGCCCTCCACCTGGAGCGCCCCAGAACGCCCCGATACGAAGGCTGTCGGGGACGCTCTGGGCCCGTCCATCTTCGGCCTGGGCCTGCCCCGTCCCATCCATCGGGAGGTGGCCCCGGGAGGCCCCCCCAGGATGTCTCTCCAGGGGCCTCCGCATAGGGCATAGGGGTCTCCAGGCGCTCTTCTCGACCTCCGAGGGGGCCTCATGGAGGCATCTGGAGGCAAGTCACTCCACGCGGGATCCCCACATGTGCACTTCCAGGCGGCGCGCCCGGGGGGGGGAGGAAGTGAGAAGGGGCGGGCCTTCTCAGAAGGCTCCTCCTCCCCCTCCTCCTCCTCCTCCTCCTCCTCCTCCTCCTCACCTCCTCCTCCTCTCCTCCTCCTCCCCCTCCCCCTCCCCCCTCCCCCTCCCCCTCCCCCCTCCTCCTCCTCCTCTCCCTCCTCCTCCTCCAAATCCCCCTCTTCTCTTCATCCGTGCGCGCGAGCGGGCCCGTGCTGTGCCCCCTGGCGGGCCCCCCTCGGGAGGCCCGAGGCAAGGTGCCATGCCTGCTGCGTAGCGGCGGTCGCGGGGCTCTTGCACGGAGCGCGGCGTTTTGGCAGCGCGCACAAGGGGGTGGAGGGAGGGGGTAGGGCTTCGTAGAAGGAGGCTGATTCTTAGAAGGCGCCGGCAGTACATCTATATAGAGAAGGCCCGCGCCTTCTAAGAGCCAGGGGTGCTTCTACGAAGCCCACCCCCCTGTGCGCGTGGGTGACTGCTGCGGCGCAGCGGTCGTGGGGCGCTGGCACGGAGCGCGGCGTTACCCCGCCAGAGCGAAGAGGGCGCGAACGGGCCCGTGATGTGCCCCGGGCCTCCTCTGGGAGGCCTTGGCCCCATGCCTGCGTCATCACGAAGCCACTGGGCCTGACAATCTCGGCGCGAACGGGCCCGTGGCTTAGCTGCCTGGATACACAACACGCAACACGTAGCGCATTGATACGCAATCTAACACGTGGGCTGAAAACGTTGGTATGACGCGATACGTTCGCCAACATGTGGACCTATACGTGCGAACCAACACGCAGCGTGTTAACACGGACGTTTTGAACACGGCACGTGTTGCGTTTCAAAACGGGCGTATCAAGGCAGCTAAGGCCCGTGGTGTGCCCCGGGCCTCCTTGGAGGGCCCGATTCCCATTACGTGCGTCATCACGAAGACATCGGGCCTCCGAAAAGAGACGCCGGCGACACCGCCCACGCAGCAGCTCTACCCGAGACCAGGTCCTGACAACATGGGCGCGAAGGTGACGGTGATGATAACACCCCGGTCGGCTGCCCCTTGGGGTTCCCAAGTGCAATGCCTACGTGTGTGCGGGTCTGAGTAGAGCTGAGTAGGAGCGAGTCTGAGCATGAGTGAGTCGGAGTTCGAGTGAGTCTGAGCATCATGAATGAATCTGAGCATGGGTGGTCTGACGATGAGTGGATTTGCGCACGAGTGAAAATGATCATGAATGTGCCTGACTCTCAATCGTTATGTCTGAGTGCGATGGAGTGTGCGGCTGAGTATGGTTTGATCTGAATATCTATATATATATATATGATTATGAGGTTGGCCCGATGGTGAGCGAATATAAATATGATGCGGAAATCTCAGTGCTAGTGGGTCTGAGTGTGAGTGGTGGGTGGGACAATGATCGACCCTGCGCATTGGTTGCATTTGAGTGCAAAAGCAAGGAGGAGAGAGAGAGAGAGAGATGATCAGGAAGGAATTCGTGAGGACGAGGCGCCACACCGAGATCAAGAACCCTGTTACCAAGGATGTAGGAAACAAGAACCCCATGCCAGGGCCATAGGGGAAACAGACAGTCCACCACCACGATCCTCGATCCTTCTCTCCAGTCCCGCCCACACAGCCTAGCACCACCGGTTCGCCAGCCCCCCTCTATCCGAGAGCGGCTCTTGGCTCTCATCGGCGCGCGCTCAGTAGGGCTGAAACTTGCCCTTGCCCTGGCCCTTGTCCTTCCCCTTCGGCGCCGCGTGCTTGACAGTGATCGGCCCCAGGCCCGGCTGGATCTCGTACTTGTCGTGCAGCGTCGCGATGGCGACGTCGCACTCCTGCGGCGTGCTGTAGTCCACGAACGCGGACACGCAGCCCTTGATGGCCTTCTGGCCCATGACGTGCACGTTCGTCACGCTGCCGTACGTCTTGAAGACGTACTCCAGGGTCGTGTTGTCGATGCCCTCGGGCAGGTTCGCCACGTACAGCCGCGTGCCGCTGGCGCCGCTGCCGCCGCCGCCCTTCCCGCCGCCGCCCCCGCCCTGCCAGCCCCCGCCGCCGCCCCGGTCCTGCCAGCCGCCGCCGCCGCCGTTGAAGGGCGCGGCGCCCTTGCCGCCGCCCCAGCCCTTGTCGCCGCCGCTGTCCCGATCCTTGGCCCACTTGACCGTCAGAGCCTCCGCCCCGGGGTCTGTCCGGATCTTGTACTGGCCGTGGATCAGGCCCATGGCCTGCTCCGCCGCCTCTCTCCTGGCGTAGGCCACGAACGCGCACCTCTGGCCCGTGGTGGGCGACGGCCTCATGATGTGCACGTTGGTCAGCTCCCCGTACGTCCCGAAGACGTGCCGCAGCTCGTCCTCCACGATGTCCGGCGGCAAGTTGCCTACGAACAGCTTGTGCTCGGCCGGGCCGCCGCCCGGCCCTGGGCCCCCGCCCTTGCCCCAGCCGCCCCCGCCGTCGTGCGGGGCGGGCGCCCAGCCCCCGCCGCCCGGCCCCTGGGGCGGGGCGTTCCGCTCCCGGGGCCACCTCACGTCGATGGCCTTCTCCGCGTCCGTGCGGATCTTGTACTGGCCGTTGAGGAGCTGTATGGCCTGCTCCGCGGACTCCAGCGTGGCGTAGCAGATGAAGGCGCAGCGCTGGCTCCGCGGGCGGGTGGACCGCCCCGCGGGCCAGGGAGCCCGAGGCGGGGGAGAGAGAGAGAGAGAGGGTGAGAGAGATACTCATCGGTCGGATGAAGTAGGCAGACCCATGAAGCAGGAAGGCGTTCGGAAGCAGATTGGGCTTCCGCCCGCCACCCGAGGAGGGAAGAGGGCAAAAACCACTCGGCCGTTGAAGTGGGAAGGCGGCCAAAGCAGATTGGGAACTGGGACTCCCAAAAATACCCCCCTTCAACGACCGATGGGTAGGGCCGTGCACGTCCAGGACAGTGCGCCTGGCATGGCACCCCGGGAGGAGCCCAGGGGCTCCTCCGCACACGTGGGAGGAGAAGGGCCTCACGACAGCGCACGGCCAGGATTGGAGCGCGCTTCTTTATTTTCGGCGACAAGTCGCAGTGTCGGGGGAGGGGGGGGGGCAGGGGCCAGGGGGGGAAAATAATGTCACGCCTCCCCCCCCGCCGTGCGCACGGCGGCAGTGCCCGGAGCGCACAGGGGGGGGGGGGCGAGGGGCGTTACGTTACAGGGGGGGGGAGGGGGGCTGGGGGCTATACTGCCCATCATGCCCCAAGCCGACGACGACGACGACGACGACGACGACGACGACGACGACGACGACGACGACGACGACGACGACGACGACGACGAAAGGCACGCTCCTGGCGGGGCCCTGGCCGATGCGGACGCCGTCGGGGGGAGGGGGGGGCGGGCGCTGGAGGGGCCTGCCGCGTCGAGGAGGCGGCTCCTGGGGCCCCGCCCTGCACTAGCCGCAGACCACGCCCGCGGTACACCCTGCGAAATGCTTAAGAAATCATGGGTTAAGAAATTCAGAGTCTCAGAACTTGAATTTAAACCCAACATTTCTATTAAAATCTTAGGATTTACATTGAAACATGAAGAATCATCGAGACTCTGGCCGAAAACTTAAGTTTTCTTCAGCATCGCCTAAGGTGTATGGGGCAGGCGAGGCCAAGCTCGAATCGACGAGTCGTGTCGGCGATCGAGGCGAGTCGGGTCGGCGGAGAGCGGCCGCCGAGTCGGGAGAGGGAGTCGAACCGGAGGGAATCGACGGGCCAGCGTGTCTGCCTGAGGGCATCAGGAGGCGTGGAATCGGAACCGAGCCCGAAGTCGAATCGAATCGGAGCCCTCGACATCGGAGAGAGTCGAATCGCATCGCATCGGAGGCATCGAGGCGAGCCCAGCAGGGGCCGCCCGCACTCCCGAGGAGAGGGGCCCCGAGGCCCCAGGATCTCCCCAGGAAGCTCCAAGCATTGGCTGCCACCGAAGCCTCCGGACCTCGCAAGCAGGCCTCGCAGAGTCCGAAGCCTCCAAGCGGAAAACTGCTCCGAAGACCTCCAGGGGGTCCCCAGAGGTCCCAGGAGGTACGTCCCCGTGGAGGCTCCAGGCGGCGTCGCGAAGTCCCCACAGGAGCCATGAGGCCCCAGAATCCCAAGAAAACACCAATCAGGACCAGAACCGTCTAAACACTTCTATCCTTGACACTCAAAGAGTGGAGAGGAGAGGAGAGGCGAGGAGAGGAGAGGAGATAGGATAGGATAGGAGAGGAGAGGAGAGGAGAGGAGAAGGGGACACTGCAATCGGAGCTTGTAGAGGAGACCCGACGGGGCACAAATCTCTTCCGAGGACGACCCATGATCCAGACGCGCAGAGAACGCGTGAACCAATCCAGACGGCCAGCAGACTCAGACATCCGATGTCTTCACCTGCCTTCCCCATACGGATTGGCCCCGAGGCCCCGAGGTCCTCTGCGCGGGGCCGGCTCTGCATGCTGAGCCGCTCCTCGCCGGGCCCGTGGCCCGGCGAGGACCCCCCCCGAGGCCCCAGAAACCGCCGGCGCCGCGCTGGATGTCCGGGAGGGAGCCCTTCGCTCCGCAGGGGTCGACCCTGCTGCTCCTGCAGGACACCCTGGCCCCCAGGGGGCCTGCCGACCCGGCCGCGGCCCTGGCCGGTCTTGCCGTTGGGGTTGAGGAGGGCCAGCTCGGTCACCTCGCCGTGGCTCCTCCCCCCTCCTCCTCCTGCCTCTCCCTCCTCCCCGGAGTTTCCCTCCTCCTCCACCTCCGTTCCCCCCTCCTCCTCCTCCTCCTCCTCCTCCTCCTCCTCCACCTCCCTCCTCCTCCTCCTCCCCTCCTCCTCCACCTCCTCCTCCTCCTCCTCCTCCTCCTCCTCCTCCTCCTCCTCCTCCTCCTCCTCCTCCCCTCCTCCTCCTCCTCCTCCTCCTCCTCCTCCTCCCTCTCCTCTCCTCCTCCTCCTCCTCCTCCTCCTCCTCCTCCTCCTCCTCCTCCTCCTCCTCCTCCTCCTCCTCCTCCTCCTCCTACCTCCTCCTCCACCTCCTCCTCCTCCTCCTCCTCCTCCTCCTCTCCTCCTCCTCCCCCTCCTCCTCCTCCTCCTCCTCCTCCTCCTCCTCCTCCTCCTCCTCCTCCTCCTTCCTCCCTCCTCCTCCTCCTTTCCTCCTCCTCCTCCTCCTCCTCCTCCTCCTCCTCCTCCTCCTCCTCCTCCCTCCTCCTTCCTCCGCCTCCTCCTCTCCTCCTCCTCCTCCTCCTCCCTCCTCCTCCTCCTCCTCCCTCCTCCTCCTCCTCCTCCTCCTCCTCCTCCTCCTCCTCCTCCTCCCCCTCCCCTCCTCCTCCCCCTCCTCCTCCTCCCCCTCCTCCTCCTCCTCCTCCTCCTCCTCCTCCTCGTCCTCATCATTCCTCCTCGTCCTCATCTCCCTTCTGCTTCCTCCCTCCCTCCTCCCTCTTGCTCCGCCCTCCCTCCTCATCCTCATCCTAGTCTACCCCTCCTCCTCCTGCCTCGCCCCCCGTCCTTTTCCTCCTCCTCCTCCTGCTCCTCCTCTCCGTAGCCATTTTGTCTCAAACCATTGTGGTTCAGATTGCAAGGTTCTCACTCGGACCTTCGGATACCGCTGATCTGCGGGGGGGGGGGGGGGGCAATCCGCCGCGGCTCCTTTTCCGCCCGCAGGCCGGTGGTAGTGACAGTGGTCAGTGGCAGTGGCAAAGCTGACCTTCCATGGGTCCGTGTTCCCTGGGTGCAGCGGGCCAGGCGCTGGGGTGGGTCTTGCCGGGCGTACTCATACCTGGCATCGACGAGGTCTGGCAGACCGTTTCGGGAGGTGCGGGTGCCTTCACGTGCCCGACCTGTTGCAAGAAGGACACGGAGGGCTCCCTCTAACGCAATCACTGCGGTTCGTCGCTGGCACGGAGGCACGCTGGGGGCACACCGTCCACACAACTGCAGACAGTGAAGAACGGGGGAGGGGAAGACGGAGCACGCGTGGTCTGGCTGGGCAAAGGCAGGGACGAATCTGGGGGCAAAATGCCAGGTGATCGGACTGCGTTGCCTCCAGGACCTGTCGCCAACGTATCCAACGTCAAAGCGAAGCAATGGCAACACTGGAAGGAGCTGCAGGAAACCAAACTGGAGCGCAGCCGCACAAACAGATCGTCGACAGAGGCGGCACGAGTCCAGCTCCCCCATAGGGAGAGGCAGACTTGGCGACGGGGTGAACAGAAACAGTACTCGACTGAGAGAAAGGAAGCTCGCCCACGAGTTTGCGAAGTTGGAGACGTGGCGGGCCACTATGGCTTAGCGTACCGAATATGTTTGCACGCTTGGGGGAGGATCTCAAGCAGGCGGATGAAGAAACGAGTGCACCACCGGCGAAGCGAAAGGTGTACAGAAAGTACCGAAGAGCGACAGCCCGCCCACACTCAGTCGTCGGCAGCTGTGCGATGTCGACGGGCGCTTCCCTTGATCACTGCGAGCTCAGTCCGAACTAATGCTCGAACAGAAGGACATCGACGCGCTGGAAACACGCAAAGTGCAACCGACTACGCAAATCCAGGATGTCACAGGAGATACGGGTACATCCCTGTAAGCTGCCATTTCTTGCATATGACAAGATTTCCCTGCTCGGTGCTCCCGAGGGGCTCTCACCATCTCATGAATGTATACTGCACGGTTCCATTGGTGTCGCGTCAATCCTCGTCCTTGAGCGGGCGAAGAACGGTATCATATAAACTGTTCCGCCGTCGGGGACGCCTGCCCCTGGGCAGCTGGAAAGGTTATAGCCCTACGTTGCCACCGTAAGGGCACAAACTTTCCAGCCGCCCTGGGACAATACCGTTCTTCGCCCGTGAAGCCCTCGACTTGCCACTCCCTTGTGGCGGCGCGCACAAGGGGGTGGAGGGAGGGGGGAGGGCGTCTTAGAAGGAGGCTGCTTCTTAGAAGGCGCTGGCCTTACATCTACAGATAAGGCCCGCGCCTTCCAAGAAGAAGGGATGCTTCTAAAAAACCCTCCCCCCTCCCTCCACCCCCCTCTGCGCGTGGCTGACCCGTGTCCTCCACCCCTGCTGCCATAATATGAACAACTCCAAACTTCAACATCCCCCGACGTGGCCGTCGGCCTGGCTGGGCGTTATTGCCTGAGATTTCCTCACAATCGTAGATCCTGCCACTCGGGATCTACAATTGCTTCTAGGATCCTGACATTCGGGATCTGACAATTCTGATCCGCAATCAAAATGTAACATCGTCGCCTTAACGCAGCGAGCACCCGTCATAGAAGTGTGAAACAGATGCAATGATGGAGGCTGTAGTTTTTCAACATGTGGCTCTCGCCTTGGCGGCCGTTT